AAAAAAAAAATTTTTGTCCCCCGGCTGGGGTTTTTTTTTCTATTTTTTTTTTTTTTTGCTTTTAAATTCTATTCTGTCTGTCTACTCCCTCTAAACAAAGACACAGGACCTACCACCTGTCAGGAAAGAACATCAACAACGCACTCACTGCTACACACACTCTTAACATCACAGGCAGCCAGCTACCTCTCCCAGCCGGGTGCCAAGACGCAGCACGGCCACGGCGCTCCTCAGGAACGCGGTTCCCACGGAGGCCACACCCAAAACATTCTACCTGCCTGAAAAACCCCACCCTGACACCGACCTGCGCCCAAACATAGGCGACGACAGTCGCCTCGCAGACCGGCCGGGAACGGGGAAAAAAACCCAGCCGGGGGACAGGAAAAAAAAAATTTTTGTCCCCGGCTGGGGTTTTTTTTTCTATTTTTTTTTTTTTTGCTTTTAAATTCTATTCTGTCTGTCTACTCCCTCTAAACAAAGACACAGGACCTACCACCTGTCAGGAAAGAACATCAACAACGCACTCACTGCTACACACACTCTTAACATCACGGGCAGCCAGCTACCTCTCCCAGCCGGGTGCCAAGACGCAGCACGGCCACGGCGCTCCTCAGGAACGCGGTTCCCACGGAGGCCACACCCAAAACATTCTACCTGCCTGAAAAACCCCACCCTGACACCGACCTGCGCCCAAACATAGGCGACGACAGTCGCCTCGCAGACCGGCCGGGAACGGGGAAAAAAACCCAGCCGGGGGACAGGAAAAAAAAAATTTTTGTCCCCCGGCTGGGGTTTTTTTTTTCTATTTTTTTTTTTTTTTGCTTTTAAATTCTATTCTGTCTGTCTACTCCCTCTAAACAAAGATACAGGACCTACCACCTGTCAGGAAAGAACATCAACAACGCACTCACTGCTACACACACTCTTAACATCACGGGCAGCCAGCTACCTCTCCCAGCCGGGTGCCAAGACGCAGCACGGCCACGGCGCTCCTCAGGAACGCGGTTCCCACGGAGGCCACACCCAAAACATTCTACCTGCCTGAAAAACCCCACCCTGACACCGACCTGCGCCCAAACATAGGCGACGACAGTCGCCTCGCAGACCGGCCGGGAACGGGGAAAAAAACCCAGCCGGGGGACAGGAAAAAAAAAATTTTTGTCCCCCGGCTGGGGTTTTTTTTTCTATTTTTTTTTTTTTTTGCTTTTAAATTCTATTCTGTCTGTCTACTCCCTCTAAACAAAGATACAGGACCTACCACCTGTCAGGAAAGAACATCAACAACGCACTCACTGCTACACACACTCTTAACATCACGGGCAGCCAGCTACCTCTCCCAGCCGGGTGCCAAGACGCAGCACGGCCACGGCGCTCCTCAGGAACGCGGTTCCCACGGAGGCCACACCCAAAACATTCTACCTGCCTGAAAAACCCCACCCTGACACCGACCTGCGCCCAAACATAGGCGACGACAGTCGCCTCGCAGACCGGCCGGGAACGGGGAAAAAAACCCAGCCGGGGGACAGGAAAAAAAAAATTTTTGTCCCCCGGCTGGGGTTTTTTTTTTCTATTTTTTTTTTTTTTTGCTTTTAAATTCTATTCTGTCTGTCTACTCCCTCTAAACAAAGATACAGGACCTCCCACCTGTCAGGAAAGAACATCAACAACACACTCACTGCTACACACACTCTTAACATCACGCTCAGCCAGCTACCTCTCCCAGCCGGGTGCCAAGACGCAGCACGGCCATGGCACTTCCCCAGAATGCTGTTCCCACAGAAAAAAAATTCTACCTGGCTTAAAAACCCCATGCTCACACCAACCTGCGCCCAAACATAGACAATGACAGTCACCTCACAGACCAGCCAGGACTGGGTACTAAAAACCAAGCCGGGGATATAAAAAGAAAAAATTTTCTCTCTTCCGGCCATTTTTTTTTTTTTTTTTTAATTTCTAGTTTGTCTGTCTACTGCCTAAAAACAAAGCTATACAAGCTACAGCCTCTAAGGAAAAAACAGAACATCAACTATTCAGGCACTACTACACAGCTTTTGAACGCCACACAGCCAGCTACAACTCAAATCACCACCTCCTCTCCCCTTGGCCACCCTACCACCAAAACAGCCACAAGCCATCACTCTCTGAGAACCTCAAAAACACCAGGTATGGGGGCCTCAAAAAATCAGCCTGCCTGAAAAAACTCCCACCTAAGCCTGACCTGCACCCAAATCTAGATAATGATCCTTGCATTGCACACCAGCCGGGACCAGGGAAAAATTACCCAGCCAGGAGACAGGAAAAACAGAAGTTTATTCCCCTGACAGAGTTATTCATTAAATCCCGTCTATGTAGTCAAATTGAGCCCACCTACAACATGAAAAAATAAAACAAACACTCATACACAGCTCAACACATTCTAAACATACCGCTATTCCACCTACCGCCAAAACCAACTCCCACTCTCTGCTGGCTTATGCTTCCACCCAACTGTCACAACAGGCAGTCACCCCCTGAAGACTATTACAGCAGGACTCGAGCACTGAGCCTGAGGAAATCCTGACCCAAACCGGACCTTCACCCAGACGCTGACTGTGACCGTCACCCTCCAAGAGCACCTGCAACTGGGTGAAAATAAACCCCATCGGGGAGACAAAGATGGCGCCCAGTTGGAGGATTTGTCTTCTTATTTAACACAAACCCATACGGTATACCCATGAAGTCTATTCCACCTATCCCTGACTCTACACCCCCGGGCAGAGCAGCTCCGAGCCACACAGACACACACAAAATACTACAAATGACAAGATTCAAAGATGACTAAACGCTAAGCGATAAGGACACCCAGAAGGGTATGCCGTAAGGCAAGAAGACTTGGAGGGCCATGATGGTGATGGGAGGAGACTATATGGCAGCCTACAAGAAGCACTAAGTGGGACAGCCATTTACGAGAAGCTACCAGCAAACCAGAGACGATGGGTATGCAAGAAGATGGGCTTCAAGACCTAAGAATGTCAGGATACGGGAAAGAAGTCACCGGCAGGAACAATGGATGCCTAAATAGCAGAGCTGATGCCTCAGCCTGCGACGATGCTGCGCAAAAGACTCCCAACTGGAAAATGCCAACACCTACTGTCGCTTTAAACTTATAACGCAAGAATAAAAAGCACCCGATCGGCAGCGTGCCTATGAAGATGGGCATTCAATACCCTAGGGATGGCGCCTGAGGCACGTGCCTGTGCTCCTCGAGCCCTAAAGAGATGTGAGGACATAGAGATCCGAGGAAGGACAAAGACACGGAAGACAAAAAAACATACTACACAATGACACACGCAGAGGCGGGAACTGCCCTGCCCGGGACACGCTAACATCGAGGGAAAAAGTAATCTGTTCCCTTTACCTCACTGTAGGGCCCTGCTCCTGTACAGCCTTCTCCCCTATGCTAACTTCCTAAACACTTCCCTGCAATTCCCAACCTCATCCCCTCCTCTCGGCCCCATTCCCTCAACTTAGCTTTCATATGACCGGAGGTTCCATTCCATCCTCAACAAAAGCAGCACAGCAGCTACACTAGCACGTTCCTGCAGTTGACGCCTTCCTCTTCACCTGCAAGGAAAAAACAAACGGGAGAAAACACAACCGGCTGTTCCCGGGAGGCCACACCAAAAAAATTTCTGCCTGCCTGTTTTGCCAATTGACGGGGTTAACACAAAGGACACATACACCAAGCTAAAGAAATAGGCTTATTTTACTTTAGTTTAAAGCAGCAGAAAGAATAAGCGAGGTAACGCATCTAGTCATTACTACATAAAGCTAGCTCTAGTGATTAAGAAAGATACATCACCAATTGCCTTCCTACTTGACCATCATCCAGATCCGTGCATCAGCTGGGGAGCCCCGTCAGCAGCGAAGGATCGGAGAGCCTTTCCCGGCAATTGGGAAGTCCCACGCAGTGCGTCCACTCGTAGGTAAGGTCTCCGTCTTTGCTGCGAGAGGGTCCGGCTTTTATACAGTTTAACAAGCAAGTCTATACAAAATGCACAGGAGATATCTGGGAGGTTGATACGCCTCACTCGGGCACGTCCAGATCTGGCCAGGATCCGGGCATGTCTGAGGAGTTACTCTTTTTCTGTACATTTGGGATTTATAGTTACTTCCTGTCGTTTACTGATTGTTCCCAGGGATCCTTCCCAGGGGTGCATTTTCACGCTGATAAGACGCTGGTTGCTGGTCGGGGGATTCACTCACGAAGTCAACCTTGGTTTGAGGCCCATTGTTCGGCCCTTTTTTGTTTCACTGCCTTAAAAACACCAGCCTGAGACAGACCTGCGCCCAAACATAGGCGACAACAGTCGCCTCGCACACCGGCCGGGACCGGGGAGTAAAAACCCAGCCAGGGGACAGGAAAAGAAAAAATTTTTTGTCCCCCAGCCGTTTTGGGTTTTTTGCATTTTTGGTTTTGTGTGGTTTGGTTTTTCCTTTGTTTTTGGGTTGGTTTTTTTTTTTTTTAATTTCTATTTTGTCTGTCTACTGCCTCTAAACAAAGCTACACAACCTACAGCCCGTAAGGAAAAAACAAAACATCAACCATTCAGGCACTGCTAACACACATTTTAAACACCACAGAGCCAGCTACCACTCAAACCACCACGTGCTCTCCCCTCGGCCACCCTACCACCAAACCGCCACAAGCCATCATCCTCCTGTGATCCTCAGAAACACCAGGTACGGGGGCCTCAAAAAATCATCCTCCCTGAAAAAACTCCAGCCTGAGCCTGACCTGCACCCAAATCCAGATAACGATCCTTGCATCGCACACCGGCCGGGACCAGGGAAAAACTACCCAGCCAGGAGACAGGAAAAAACAGAAGTTTATTCCCCTGACAGAGGTTTTCATTCAATCCAGTCTACGTAGTCAAATTGAGCCCAGCCTACATCCTTGACAAGAAAAGAAAGACAAATACTCATTACACAGCTCAGACACATTCTAAACATGCCGCTATTCCACCTACCGCCAAAACCAACTCCCACTCTCCACCGGCCCATCCTTCCTGCCCAACCTGTCACGACGGGCAGTCACCCCCTGAAGACTGTTCCAGCGGGACTCGAGCGCCGAGCCTGAGGAAATCCTGGCCCAAACCTGACCTTCACCCAGACGCGACTGTGACCGTCACCCTCAGAGAGCAGATCTGTCACTGGGTGAAAATAAACCCCACCGGGGAGACAAAGATGTGCCCGGTTGGAGGATTTGTTTTCTTATTTAAAACAAACCCATACGGTATACCCGTGAACTCTATTCCACCTATCCCTGACTCTACACCCCCAGGCAGAGCAGCTCCGAGCCACACAGACACACACAAAATACTACAAATGACGCGATTCAAAGAGGACTAAACGCTAAGCGATAAGGACACCCAGAAGGGTATGCCGTAAGGCGAGAAGACTTGGAGGGCCACGATGGTGATGTGAGGAGACTCTATGGCAGCCTACAAGAAGCATTAAGTGGGACGGCCGTTTACGAAAATCTACCAGCAAACCACAGACGATGGGTATGCAAGAAGATGGGCTTCAAGACCTAAGAATGTCAGGATACGGGAAAGAAGTCACCGGCAGGAACAACGGATGCCTAAATAGCAGAGCTGATGCCTCAGCCTGCGACGATGCTGCGCAAAAGACTCCCAACTGGAAAATGCCAACACCTACCGTCGCTTTAAACTTATAACGCAAGAATAAAAAGCACCCGATCGGCAGCGTGCCTATGAAGATGGGCGTTCGATACCCTAGGGATGGCGCCTGAGGCACGTGCCGTGCTCCTCGAGCCCAAAGAGATGCGAGGACATAGATATCCGATAAAGGACAAAGTCACAGGAGACAGAAGAAACATACTACACGATAACACACGCAAAGGCTAGAACTGCCCTGCCCGGGACACGCTAACATCGAGGGGAAAAGTAATCTGTTCCTTTTACCTGACTGTAGGGCCCTGCTCCTGTACAGCCTTCTCCCCTATCCTAACTTTCAAACGCTTCCCTGCAGTTCCCAACCTCGTCCCCTCCTCTCGGCCCCGTTCCCTCGACTTAGCTTTCAGAAGACCGGAGGTCCGATTCCATCTTCGACAAAAGCAGCACAGCAGCTGACTAACATGTTCCTGCGGTGGCCAGATTCCTTTATCACCTGCAAAAAAGGAAGAAGAGCACAACTGCTGGTCAGTATCATTCTGCTCCCCGCTTACCTCTTCTGCAACCCCACCCCGTCCTCAGAAGCATCGTGGTGTTCCGCTCACCTGCTCATTTTGGACTCAGATACTACAGCCGTTGCCTCTTCCGGTACCTAACTTACCGAGAGACAAAGTTACCGTTGAGCTTGTGAGAAGTCACCGACCCCGTGCTCGTCCTTGCTACTACCCTGGCTGCTTTCACATGCTCAGATGATCCCAAAGGTGGCTCACTTGGCACCTGAAAAACCAAGGTAATTGATTAACCGAGTGGCCATATAAATCTGCGCTATTAGACTCGGACCTGGCTGACTACTGCCTCACCTTCTCAGATGGCTCAGCGGCATGCTCCTTCACCCTTCCGAGGCTACGTGCGTCACCTACAAAAAAACAAAGTAGCAGCACTTGCCAAGATGCTGCCCAAAACTGCACCCCACCCATACCTATAACCGTCTCCCTCCCCCTTCGTTTACGTGCTCACCCGCTCCGCCTCTACTGTTTACAGGTTGTCACGTTGAGGCTCGGGTACCGCTTGCAAGACGAGCGACGAGGCGTGCTTCTACCTTCACCGATAGGACACCTGAAAAGTAACTGCTGCTTCAGCCCCCTAGTCACGGCTCTTCTCGCCCACATCCCCTCCGGTGCCAAAACTTCGCGTTGCTCGACGCTTTGCGCCTTCCGAGTAAAATGCACCTATCGGCTAATCATATAGCCACCGGTCGCATCTTCCCCCGACGCTTCACAGCCAACCTACCTTCCTAAACTGCTCGATTTATCTTCTCTGTTGTCGTTAGGTGAGGGAAGTCATCCCTCTTCATCTGCAAAAGAGATATTGAATGAGTCACCTGGATGACGAGCGATAGCTTAACAGTTACAGAGATCCCATTTTCATTTAAGTATACCACCCCAATTCTCTCGACAGCCTGGTGTCAATAAAACTCTGCTCATCCCCTGAGTGTCTGCGTAGCGCTACAGAAAGAACTCTTCTTGCCTGTTGGCTACATAATTAGTTGCTCTGAAATGGACGGTACGCCTTTTCCCTACAAAGTCCAGGCTTATTGACATAGAACCTTACTGTTCTTCTACGGCTGTCACCTCTACGCACCCAGGCAGAGCAGCTCCGACAGACAAACACGCACAGACCGACATGGCACACAGACAAGACGAGAGACATAAAATAAGCTCTTTAAGAGGAAAGACTCAGATCGGAGATGCTCTCGGACAGGAAGACCTACGTGGCCGTGAGGAAGAAGGGGCGGCAGGCCGAGAAGAGTCAAGTGTTGTGGCCTGACAGAAAACCTTATAGCCTCCACAGGGATAAGGCATGCGCAAGTAACGTCGCTTCAAGACCTAAGAACGTCAAGATGCCGGGAACAACTGCCAGAAAAGATATTTGAGAAGATGGATCGCTGTACGTCAGAGATGCTAACGCAGCCTGGAAGGACATTGCAAATGCAGCCTGACTGGACACTTCTGAGATCTAGCTACGCTTTAGGCTAGTAAAGCAAAAATAAGAACTGCCTGTTTGGCACCGTGCTGATGAGTATGGGTGTTCCGGGCCCGAGGGAAGATGTCCGAGGCAACTAATGCGCTCCTTGGGCTCAAAGAGCCACGAGGACGTCGAGACCCAAGAAAAGTCTAAAGACACACGAGACAGACAACACGGACTACACGACGACACAGGCCGGAACTGTGCTGCCTGGCACGTGCTAACCTCGTCCTGAAAAGGAACCCCTTCCACCCCTGCTTCAGCTGCCCAAAGAGCACTGTTCCTGGACGGCCCTCTCCCGTAAATTCACTTTAAAACTTCTCCCTGCAATTCCCAACCTTGGGCTGCCCCCCAGAGCATTCTCCCCAGCACCGGTCCCTCGACTTATCTTTTACGGTGCTGGGAATCTGAATCCATTGTTGAAAAAACAACGCGCTGAGTAACCGGGTTATTCAGACAGTTGCTAGGTTCCTCTTTGCCATCTGCATAAAAACACGGTGAGCCATAAGGACCTTACCTATTGATGTGCACCTCATCTGCCACACCCTCCTCATCAGAAACAATAGATTTCCTCTCACCCCATCTCAAAACCGTACAAAATCCTCTTCTCCTCAATTGCTGATGAAGGATCCGTGCTTCTTCCTAGAAATGAAATTATACAATACGCTTTATTAAAAATTCTTACCCTCCCAAACAAAATAACTAATCTAAAGTATAAAAAAAAAAAAAAAAAAAAAAAAAAAAAAAAAAGCTACATATAAACATTCTATCTACTACATATGTTGCCAAACCTTGACCGGTCCAGAAAATCTTACCTCAGATGACTCTGTCCCTTGAGACATGAAAAACACATCTGTCTCAAAAGCTGAAATGGCTCAAAAGCTGCTCCTGACTGCAAGACTGAGAGATCCCTGACTCCTGAGAAACCCAGGAGCGGAATGAGCTTCCTGTCGAGCGGCTGGGGTTTATATACCCCGGGCCCCGCCCACCAGCCTGCCCACAATCCCCTGGGAAAGGGGCGGGGCCAACCCCCCCACAGGTATAAAGTCAGCCAGAGGAGCAGAGGGGAATTTTCTCCTCTGCCTAAAGTTTATAACACGCGTAGCGCTCTGCGGAGAAAGCGACTCTTACCAGAAATGACTATACCCACTCTTTTACTGGGCCTGTTGTGTCAGCGATGCGACCCGGTAGGGAGTTCTGCTTAATTTTTCCAGGCTATACGTAGAAAAAGATGGGTATTTGATTAGGCTCTGTAACAAGAGTTGAATAAAGGCAATAGCGATACTCTTATCGACAACAATGTGCTTTAGTTTCCGAGAAAACAACCAAAATGCTATAGGGTTATGCTTCGTTTCTACAGAGACTCCGCACGCTACCTAGCTTCTACTGGAATTATGCCATGAATGAAACTGATTGAGAAAGTGGGGGTAGATCCTACGAGAATCCCTCCTCTGGGAAGTCTGCCGGGGATCTGAATGGATTGCGCGTGCTCTCTGAGCACCGGGGATGGAACGGACGCGTCCTAGCTACCATAGAGGAAGATGTGAACTTTCTGCAGACAAACTATAGCGTCCGGAAAGGTCCTCTTGGCACGCGGAGGGCACAAAGCGCACCGCCGTTTTGCCGATCGATGGGGTTAACGCAAAGGGCGCAAAAGCTGAGCTAAAGAGATTGGCTTATTTTGCTGGCTGTCTCGAGGTAATAAGTGATAGGTAAGAAACGAGGTGTTTAAAAATTAAGGCGATGTGTCCAGTCCTTACTATACCAGATGAGTCGTAGCGATTAAGAAAGATACATCGCCGATCGTCCTTGTGCTTTACCATCGCCTGGATCCAGTGCTTCAGCCGGGGAGCCCCGTCACGACGAAGGATCGGAGACACTTTCCCGGCAACTGGCGAGTCCTACACGGTGCGTCCGCTCGTGGACGAGGTCTCCGTCTTTGCTGCGTGAGGGTTCCGGTTTTAGATGGGTTAACGAACAAATCTGTAAACGTGTAGAACTGACAAAATGCGCGCAAGACATCGGGTGGATTGAGTCGCCTCGTCGTCCTCCTTTGAGATTCTTTCCCGAGCCTGGCCGAGGCTCGAGGACGAACCGAGGGATTGGCGTATTCGACCTCGATAATGGGCTTCTAAATGAGGAAATGTCAACATAAGAGGAACCGAGGGAGTATGCGTAATCGACCTCAATAATTGGCTCCTAAACTAGGAAATGTCGGTATATTCCTGTACTGTTTTATCTAAGTTACTTATCTCGATAATGAGATGTTCTATCCGAGCTACGTATTTCACTAATGATTGGATACGGTCATTATATAACACGTTTGGTCGTGAGATTCGTCTAGAGGGTGACTTTGGCTCGAGACCTGTCGTTCGGGCCTCGGTACTTTGACAGCAGAGCCGATAAAGGGCGGCGGAGCACGAGGACGGCCTCGGGAGGCACGCTGACATTGAGAGAAGAGCAAAACGTAAAAGACGGCTCTCGCACGGGATGCTTAACTAGGGAAGGCATCCCCGCGACGTACGGAGGTTCTCGGGGGACGACCGACCAAACGGATGCATCCGAAATGGCGGTGATTAAGTAAGACGGCTCTGGGGTGTGGACAAAGCCCGAGGAAGGGATCTGTCTGCGTAAGAGATGTACGCGGAGAGCCGTGGAGCTCAAACGGTGCTGTCAGACACGAGGATTGTCTCGAGAGACGTCGTGACGAGAACGAGAGGGCTCCGGGGAGCGGAGGGAACGTGGGTGTGGAGACAAACAAAGGACAAAAAATAATTTGAAAAAAACGCGAATGGAATACAGGTAGCCAGGGTACATTAAAAGCGATGGTTAATAAAGAAATAATGAAATAAATAAGAAATATTGATGGCAAATTACAGGGGAGATGTAGAAATAAAATTTAAGAGGTCAGCAACGGGGAAAACCGAGACGAAATAATTTAAAAACAAATGCGGTGACCGAGATACGAGCCAATTGTAAAAGCCCAGGGATGAAGAGACGAAAGAATTTAAAAATACCGATGGCAAACCGAAACACCGCTGTTGCAAAATGGCCGAGCAAAAATAATTGCTTAGCGTAGCGTAAAAACTTAAGCGATCGGTCAAACGCCTATGACGTGTCATCTGTCACACGGAGATCCGTGGGCTAGGTGAGCGTGATAAACGCCTCCCCGGAAACGCGTATGTGGAGAGGCTCCGTGTCTCATTGAGAGACTCCTAATCGGAAGCCCTCGTCCTTCAAAGTCAAGGCCCTCTGAAAAAGAACAAACTAGCTGAAGGCAGGCGGGATGTAAGAAAGCGCAGACGTAAACCGAAGAAAGGCCCATTCTAAAACCTAGACGAAGGTCGAGAAAGGATCCTCTCCAGAAACTGCTATAGAACGCCGAGGACCTCCGTGGAAGCTCCTCAGGGACCTAAATCGCACAGGTAATAGTTATATAACGACGATAATGAGTTAACGAATAGGCACGTAACGGGATGATGTGAGCTTTGGCTATGGTAATTTACGACAGGCGAGTTAGGCGGAACGATTCCCTCGCGTACCCGGCCGGATAAAGTAATCCCCATGCGTTAACGCTAAACCTGGCGTTAAGGAGGTGTCGTTGCCGATTTCAGTATAGAATTTTGGCGACCCGGATGGGATGCTGCCTCGGAAACTTGACGAACCCACGGGATTGGAAAGACGCTGGCGTCGCCTAAGTGGTTTTCGGGGAGATCCTCCCGATCCCCTGATCTGGTGAGTTTGGAGTAAGAGCCCTAGCGGTTTTTTTTTTTGTTGTTTTTTTTTTTTGTTTTGTTTTTTTGTTTTTGTTCTTTTGGTTGGTAGGTTTGTTTGTTTGTGTTTTTTTTTAAGGCATAACCAAAGGTAACACAGACTGGAAAAGCCTGTCCGTAAGACTGGACGCAAGAAATTCCCACGGGACTCTGCTATTAAGGGAAACCTGGGAAGAAAGGCGAGATTACACGTTATTACGGTGACGTGCCCGGAGTGTCGCCTGGGGTCAGATGAAAGCCTCGATCGCACGTAAGGTGCGGGCTAGGGTATCGCGGCGCATTGGCCAATGTACATGTCTAATTATTATCTCGTATAACAGCCTCGTTTAGTCTGTTAGGCGGTGTCACAGTTTTGTGTACGTAATTGTTTATTTTGTTTAATGTGGGTTCCGACAGGTCTAAGGGGTCTGAGAGCGGTCTTTTCAAAAATTCACCTCTGGAATGTATATTAAAATATTGGAGGGACGTGGGAAGCGAACCCCTTATCTGGGAAACAATTAATTGACTATTGTAATCGTTGGTGGCCGCTGTACGT